AACCCGGTCTAAAGTACTCAACACGTATTTCAAAATCACCTCATGTTGGAAATACTGGTAAAGCGTCAACAACTAGGATCATGAAATACTTGGATCGCTACGAGCGTCTGGAGATGCTCACAGGGGTTATTCATCTATTAGTTGGAAGACATCACGATAGTGCTCGGTGTACGGGCCTATGTCTTAAGCCCACCGTTTGCAATTGATTACATGGACCATCTGTAACTGTCTGTGAATCGTGCTAGAAGTCGCCCCAGTGACATCTATAGAACATTTGTCACGCAGAGAAAGGTTTTGTATAGAAAAGTTGACACACGGTGGCTTTCAGGAGTCACTAAATCAACTCTAGATTTCAGGCTCCAAGTACGACCCGCTGATGTGTAGCCTCCAGAAAAACACGGTTTGTGATTTGATGAAAGGAAACGGCCTCGGCCCAAGCCCTCCGGTGCGGAGACCAAAAGGCCTTTTGTGACTGACCCTCGAGGTGACTCTGCTCCGCCCTCCGCTCCGGGGGAACTATCTCGCGCGCGGGGGGGCGGGGGGCGCGCCCGTGGGAGGCACAGCCCGAGAGGACGTGGGAGCAGCGGGGCGCGATCGGAGGCTGGGGCTTTGCCGCCGCGGAAGGAACGCCACATCCCGGGCAAGCCGGTGGTTCACGGAGGAGCGGGGGCCACCTCCCGCGACGCGGACGCGCCACCTGTCAGACCAGAGGAGAGGAGAGGGGGGCGCGGAGGCGGCTGCCCCGGGCCCCGGGGGGGAAAAAGAAAGAAAAAAAAAAAAAGGCCGTGGGTCAGCGGGTCTCGGCCTTGGAGCGCTCCGGTCGCGGCGACCGGGCGGTGGGCGGTGCGGGAAGGAGCTAGGTCAGGACAGCGCCACACGCGGCCGGCGGGACCGGGCCCGCAGCCTGGGGGCGCCACCGCGCGCCCCTCCCCTGGGCCAGCCTCTCGGCTCCTCCCCCGGACACGTGACCACGGCCGGCGGGTCCCCTCGCTCCCGCAGCGTAGCTCGCTCTGTTTCTTCCCTCCCGCCGCCGTGCCCTTCTTCTCCTCAGTTCCCACCCCTCCGCCCTCCCCCCACCTCCTTCCCCACGCCCCAATAGCGGCTCGAGCGGCGGAGCGCCCGCCCCTCCGCCCTGCTCTTCGCTTGCTCATTGGCTGAGGCCTCAAGGACGCGTCCCGAGGGCGGGTGGCCGCCATTGGTGGGATGAGCAATCCGAGTTCCCGGATGAGGGAACATTCAGCGGTATAAAGGGCGCGGGGAAGGCGGGAGACAGCGCAGTTTGAATCGCGGTGCGACGGAGGAGTGGGCGGTGGGATCTCGCTGGCTGTCTGGCTAGTCCTTTCTCTGCCTTGCTTGTTTGAGCTTCAGCAGAATTCGAAATGGTAAACTTCGCGGAGGCGCTCGAAGACTCCGCGGGCTTTTGCCGATGGGGGAAAAGCCCGTTACGCTCGGGAGATGGGGGTGAAGTGGCGACGGTTGGGAACGCGCGGAGACAGGATTTGGAAGAGCGGGGGGAGGTGTTTTGTCGGCGGCGAGCGGAGCAGCCTCCGCTCTCGCGGCGGGCGGCGGGCGGCGGCGGCGGGCGGCGGCGGCGGCGGCGGCGGTTGGGTGGCGCGCGCAGCGCCGCTGGGGGCCGGCGGGCGGACGGAGGCGCGCGGCCGCGGCGGGCGCGCCGCGGGGGGCGGGCGGGCGGGGTCGCCCTTGAGGCGCGCGGCTGGCCGGAGACCCCGGCTGGGCACGGGGCCGCGCTCGCGCCTGGGCCGCGCCGCGGTGGGGGAGGGGCACGCCGCCCTGGTAATCCTATATTCCCCGTTCCTCCTTCGCTCGCGGGCGTGTGCGCGCCGCAGGCTGGCGGTAAGGCTGGGAAGGACTCCGGAAAGGCCAAGACAAAGGCGGTTTCCCGCTCACAGAGAGCCGGCTTGCAGGTCAGTGGAGGCTCGTGCAGTCCAGGGATTGTGGCGTTTTTCTTTCCGCCTCTTTTCTTGTGTATCATCGCTCTAGATGGGCGTTTCGTCTTTGCGTGGGTGATGCGGTGTCGCGACTAGGTTCGCCGATACGATAAATATCGGGGGGGGGGGCCGATCACGTGTGTCGATGCTGGGGCGCGTTGCTGCACCAGCGTCCGTGCCCCCTCGCTTTGGCGCGCGCGTAAGATTGCCGTCTTTGACTCTAACATCTTTGTGCATTTATGTTTGTGTGCTTAAAATTAAGTTCCCGGTGGGCCGTATTCATCGACACCTGAAATCTAGGACGACCAGTCATGGACGTGTGGGCGCGACTGCCGCTGTGTACAGCGCAGCCATCCTGGAGTACCTCACCGCAGAGGTAAATGGGTGTACGCCTATAATCTGGAAAAGGTTTGGGGGGGCTGGGGGGAGGCGGCGAGAGGGAAGGAGGAAAGTGATGCAAGAAAAACTCCCAGGCCCTAATCACACGGCTAGAAGCTTCTGGGAACGCTAGAGGGGGCTGGTGTTCATTGAGGGATCCTACTGGGCTTGGTGGAGTTTGCTGCTCTTGGAAATAAAATTGCGTGCCCCCGTTTGCTGGTGTTGCCATTCAGGTAGTAGGGGCAGGCGACATTTGGTGGATTACTTTTCCTGGAGATTTGATTCTACTCCCTGGGTTTTGGCTTTAAGGAAAGGTGGAAGGAGATTGACTAACATTTGACTTTAAGGAAAGTTTGGAAGGAGGTTGATTAAAATCTGCCTTGTAGGTACTTGAATTGGCAGGAAATGCATCGAAAGACTTGAAGGTAAAGCGTATTACCCCTCGTCACTTGCAACTTGCTATTCGTGGAGACGAAGAATTGGATTCCCTCATCAAGGCTACAATTGCTGGTGGTGGTATGTAAATACTAAAATTTTGTTCCTTTGGAGAAAAAAAATTCCTTAGCGCTCATTAATTCTTAGTCAAGAAGAAGGCCTGTTTTCAGTCGTCTTCGGTGTGGTTGCACCAAGAAATTTGATTCGTATATAGAACTTAATGAATTTGTACATCCTTGAGCTTTGCATTTAAAGACCTCTTTGAAGTTGAACATTGTCTTGGTTTTTTAAGTGTTGTGTGATTTTTAGAATATGTCTATTAAAAAGTAGAATTAATCCCTCTCTGTTCTTCTCCTAGGTGTTATTCCACACATCCACAAATCTCTGATTGGGAAGAAAGGACAACAGAAGACTGTTTAAAGGATGCCTGGATTCCTTATTATCTCAGGACTCTAAATACTCTTAACAGCTGTCCAGTGTTGGTGATTCCAGTGGACTGTATCTCTGTGAAAAACACAATTTTGCCTTTTTGTAATTCTATTTGAGCAAGTTGGAAGTTTAATTAGCTTTCCAACCAACCAAATTTCTGCATTCGAGTCTTAACCATATTTAAGTGTTACTGTGGCTTCAAAGAAGCTATTGATTCTGAAGTAGTGGGTTTTGATTGAGTTGACTGTTTTTAAAAAACTGTTTGGATTTTAATTGTGATGCAGAAGTTATAGTAACAAACATTTGGTTTTGTACAGACATTATTTCCACTCCAGTGGATAAGCTCAATAAAGGTCATATCCCAAACTAGTTGTGTTTTATATTTGCTTGATTGTAATGGGAATTCCTTTCTTTTGAGTAGGTAACTCATAGAGCAGTAGTAACATAAGCATATTTCTTCTTTTGGAATTGTAGACTTGTAGATCAACCAAGTCAGAACCCTCAAGTGTATTTTTTTTTTTTTTTTAACACGTAATGAGCTATTAAGGATCTTTAAACGTTGGCAGGAGCTGGAATGGGACAGGTTGCTGTTTCTTAGAGGCTGGGCTTGACCGTCTCACTCTGTTGGCTGTGTCTACTCTTACGTGGTGGCATCACATTGGTGGGCTGTTGGTGTGGTGAATTTGGGGAGGGAAAGCACAGGTAAAGGAAGTCCTGCGTTATAGCTACCTACCTCCACCGAGGGAACTTGCAGTTTAGACTTTGAAGATAATGTTTTTTCGTGTTTTGAAGTCTACTTGAGTTAAATCTTTGAGTCGTTAAACATCCCTGGGGGGTGGGAGAGGGCCCCTGCTATTCCGCATTTTCCAGAAGAGCATCAGTATTTCTTTGCAAGTCCTGAGTTACATATTTGCATGCTAACAATAGCTTGATTGAACATCGTGAAAAAAAGCTAGTATTTTTTGCTTGGGTTGAGTGGCCTATTTTGAGTCTGGCTTTGTGGGAAGTTCCTGTCCTAATTTTAATTTGGGTGATAGTCCCAAGCAAAAAGTGGTCCCTCTCTCCCCAAGGAGACCCAACATGACGTGGTTCAGCATGTCACGAGGAGGTGCCATGAAAATGGGAGAAGGGAGAAAATCCAACAAGTAGCCAATTCTGTGATAATGAAACGGTGGTTTCTGCCTTGTTTTGGTCGTAAAGGATCAGGATTAGGGCTTTTCACCAGAATAATTTGCAAACTGCAAATAAAGTACCTTCTGGGTGTACCGAAAGACAATTTAATGGAATATGGGTCAGGAAAAACGGTGTGCGGCTGTAACCAAAAGGGAATAAATACAGCAACACCGTAGTTCGGGTCAAACGACGCTCCTCCGTGCTCCAGAACACCTGTGCCGGAAGCGCTGCCTAGGGACTGACAGCGCGATTCTCACCCGACCGAGGCCTCCCGAGGCTGGGGGGCCCAGAGGCGAGCCCTTGGGTCCCCGGAGTTTTTGCTGTAAACGGGCGTCCCCAGCGCCCCCCCGTCGCCCCGGCCGCCAGGAGGGCAGGGGGCCGGGCCCCCACCTCGGCGGAGTCCCCCGGCGGGCAGCCGGGCTGGTATCGCCCGCCCCCCCGGCCCCCACGTTGGTCGGCTCCGAGCGTGGCGGCGCCGCGCACCGGCAGACCGTCGGCTCGGCCTCCCAGGCCCGGGAGCTCGGTCCGGGGGGCCCGGAGGGATGCGGCTCGCGCCGTAGCGGCCCGCGGGGGGCGGGGAGGCCGCCGTGAGGAGGCGGAGCTGTGAGCCCGCCAGCCCGCCCGGGCCGCCGCCGCCGCCGCCGCCGCCTCGGTCCCCGGCTCTCCTCCCCGCTCGACCCCGCACGCCCCCGCCCCGGGCCGGCTCGCCCCCGCCGCGGCCGCGGAGTCCGTCCCCCGTAGCTGCGCCGCTGGAGGAAGCGGAAGGAAGCGCAAGCCATGGAGGGGAACCGGGATGAGGCGGAGAAATGTGTGGAGATCGCCCGGGAGGCCCTGAGCGCCGGCAACCGTGAGAAGGCCCAGCGCTTCCTGCAGAAGGCGGAGAAGCTCTACCCACTGCCCTCGGCCCGCGGTGAGGCCCTCGGTGCCCCTTCCCCACCTGCCGGCTCCCCAGGCCGCCGCGCCGCCCGCCCCCGCCCCCGCCCCGCCCCCACCGTCGCCCCCACCGTCGCCCCCACCGTCGCCCCTCCGCGCACCCGCGGCCTGCCTGCACCCCCGGCCTGCCTGACCCCGCCACACCCCCGCGCGGCCCCGACTGTCCCGGGCCGGGGCTGGGATGGGCTCCCCGAGGTTGCCTCCGCACTAGCTTGCCTTCCAGGTGCCGGCTCTCTGTGGACAGGCGAGTGTCCCCGGTTCCCCGGTCGGTTTGTGCGGGTCTCGCTGTCATTCTCCTAGATCCGTCTGGCCCCATCTTAACTGAGCGGGGCTTCTTACAGGGCTGTTGGCTCCGGTGGCCCCCTCCCACCGCATCCTCGCCCTCAAGGAAGGCCTAGGCCCCTAGTGAACTGAGAGGAATGGGGAACTCTAGTGGCCGAGGCCCAGGTCTCCGTTCCACCACCTCGAGGGCAGAAAACCCTGTTCCCAAAGCAAACGTTTTGAATACCTGAGATGACATTGCTTTTCCCCGGTAGAGACTTTTTTAGAAGAGAGGAGCAAAATTTGGCATTGATTTCCTCAGTAGTATCTGATTTTATGACACCCCAGTTGTCGATAAATCAGGCAAATCGCTAAGGAATTCAGCCTACTGAACTGAACTGCCTTGACTTGAACTCGCCCTCTTCCTGTTCAGCTCTGCAGGCTTTAAAGTACGAGCGGCAGTCAACACTGACTGAGCGCTGACCAAGTGCCGGGCCTTGCGCCTAGGGCTTCGTATGGATTATTTCGTTTACTCCTCAGAGCAGTCCTGTGTAGAGGTGGAATTCATTTGACTGGGTTTACTTACCTTACGTGTAAACAGACTTTTCGATGGATGAATGAATGAGGGAATGAATGAATGCAAACACTCTTCCGAAGGTCACAGAGTAATTAGTAGCAAAGTCAGAATAGTACTTGAGCTTTCTAGCTCCAGAAAGCCTTTAACCACTATGCTGTATTGGCTTGCCGATTAAAAACTGTTTCACTCGAGGTTCAAGGTATTTCTAGGTTAGGAAAACTAATGATAAGTTAAGAAGAATGTGAGGCTTTTATTTTATTGTTTTCTCGATTTTTTTTTTATATTGTTGAAGCTCTTCTATTGTTTGCTTTTCTCTATCATTTTCTTTACACTGCTGTTGAATACTAGAGAGGATAGGAAAAGGAAGTGAAAGAAAAGGAGTTAATATTTTTAAAAATGTGGCAAAGATACGTAACGAAATTTACTTAACCGTTTTTAAGCATATGGTTCAGTAGTATTAACCATTTTCACACTGTTGTGTCATAGATCTCTAGAATTTTTTCATCTTATAGAACTGAAATTCTATACCAGTGGAACAACTCCCTATTTTCCCTATCTCCCAGGCCTTGGCAACACTGTTCTTTACTTTTAAAATTCTACTACTTTTGATAGCTTATGTAAGTGAAATCATACAATATTTGTGTTTTTTGACTAGTTTATTTCACTTAGCGGAATGTTCTTTAAATACATGTTGTAGCACATGATATGATTTTCTTTTTAAGACTGTATAATATTTCATTACACACACACACACACCACATTTTCATTTTTCAGTCATCTGCCAATAGATATTTAGGTTGTTTTTATAGCTTGGCTATTGTGAATGATGCTATAAGCATGGGTGTGCAAATATCACATTGCAAGTTTCTCCTGCTTTCAGTTCTTTTCACATGCATACCCAGAAATGGGATTGCTGGATCATAGTGACAGTTCTATTTTTAATTTTTTTGAGGAACTACTGTTCTATTTTCCATTGCAGTTGCACCATTTTACATTCCTAGCAACAGTGTGCAAGAGTTACAATTTTTCTGCATCCTCACCAAAACTCTCTTATTTGTTTTTGATAGTAGCCATCCTGAAAAGTGTGAGGTGATATCCCATTGTGGTTGCATTTTTTTTTTTAATGATTAATGGTATTGAGCATGCTTTTATATGCATGTTGGCTTGTTTGTATCATCTGTGGAGAAATTTCTATTCAAGTCCTTTGGCCATTTTTTTAAAATAATTTTTTACTTATTAGGGTGTTGAGGATAGAACTCAGGTGATTGACAGAAAGTGGCTTGTTTTTTAAGCATTTATTTATCATTAATTAATTAATTTCTTTATTTATTTATGGGGGGGTGTGTGCAAGTAGAGGGGAGGGCAGAGGGAGAGAGAGAACTCCAGCAGACTCCATGGTAAGTGCAGAGCAGGGCTCTATACCATGACCCCTTACTTAGATCATGACCTGAGCTGAAGTCAAGAGTCAGACACTTAATGGACTGAGCCATCCAGGTGCCCTTGCCCATTTTATAATTGGGTTGTTTTGTAGTTGAGTTGTAGGAGTTCTTTATATATTTTGGATATAAACCCCTTATCAGATACATGAATGGCCCATTTTTTTGCCCATTCTGTAGGAAGTCTTTCATTCTGTTTGTTGTGTTCTTTGATATACAGAAGTTGTTAAGCTTGATGTAATCTCTTTTGTCTGTCTTTGCTCTTATCACCTGTGCTTTTGGTGTCATATCCAAGAAATAATTGCCCATGGTTAAAATTTTTTGCATACTGTATAAATACATTGTTTCATTTTAGCCATTATTTAGTACTAGACAGTTTTAACGTAAAGCAGATAACCACTCAAGACAGAATACCTTGACTTTTGAAGCCTATCTCCTCTACCTACTAGCTTATATCCTTAATCTTGGGCAAGTAGGATAACCTCTCTAGCCTTTGGCTCTTTCATCTGCAAAATGGGACAGTAATGTACAGATTTTATGAGGCTGTTATGAGAATCAAAGGAATTAATACATGGAATGCATTTAACAGTTAAGAACTCAATTTTTTTTGGTATTATTTCTGTCTAACAAGTGTGGGGCTCTGAGAAACTTTAAACTTGTAGCTTGTCATTCTTATATAAGTGATTTGGGGTTTTTGTTGTTGTTCGTTTAATGCTTCATTGAGAAACTTCATTCTTTCAGTGTTTTGTTTTGCTTTGTTATTTTAACTAAGCTCTGCGCCTGACATAGCTTGAACTCACAACCTTAAGATCAAAACTTGTATGCTGTACCGACTGAGCCATCCAGGTGCCCCCATCATATAAGCAATTTGAAATCAGTCTGTTGAAGGATACTATAAGATATCAGAGCACAACATAGTTGTTGCTCTTAAAGACATGAACGTGGAGAAAATTAAGAAAAATAACAGTGAAAATTAATAGTACAATGTCTTGTAAAGTCAGTCTGTGATAACCAAGTAAAGTGATAGGTTATAGTTGTGTGGTCAGAAAGTTCAGATGCAGACTTTGCCCCTGACAATTTTGTAACAAAGGACAAGTTACTTAGCATCTCTAAGTCTTTTTTGGTTATATGTGAAATGAAGATTTCATCACAGGGTTTATGGGAGCATTAGCTGAAATAGAGTTATACACAAATACTTAGTGAAGTGTTTTACATAGAATGTTCTCAGAAGATGTGTAATGGAATAATTTAAGAATTTAGGGGAAGGAAAGGTCTAGAAGATTTGTTTTAAGTCCTGAGAAAATATTTAGTGTAGAAAGAAATTGAAGCTATTGATTAAATTTTAAAATTTTATTTCTGAATTTCTCCTATTCTAGATTATTGTCAAACTCTTATAACTCAGTTTTGACTGGAGGTTCCTCTGATGTGTTGTTATACTAAGATGGGCAAAAGAAAACATTGCATTTGACTTCTATTATTCTTGTACAGTGAATGGGAAAATGTGAGAGTAAGTTCTACCTAAATTCCAAAATTTTTATCTTCTTTACATTTTATTTTTGCCAGGTGAGCAGTCTGATTGATAAAACACTTTAAAAAGTTGGCAAGAGTTTTCCTTGAGGAAAAAGCTTGATCTTCAAATGGATCTAGGACATTATTGCTTTCTATGTTTTAGTTAAAGATATTATTTTATGGATTGTTTATTGCAATGGACTTCTAAGTGAATTGACTTTTACAAATAATCAGATATTTTCATACTTCGAGTTTGGTTTATGTTCAAAAGGATTGATACATATGACTAGCTACTAGCTACTACATATTCTGGAAAAATAATGTCAGCAGGCAGAAAAGTAAATTACATTTTAGTTTCTTAAACTGTATATTTATTGAATTATTGATATGTTTTGAACTTTCACAGAGGGATACAATATCACTATTTTAATGTTTTGCATTGCTATTTACTTAGTATTAACTTTACTGTTTCATACTAATTGGGAGGCAGTTTGACTTACAGATTTGTATGTTTTTTCCAGAAAAGAGCATTTTGATTATTTTCAAGAATTTCTTAGTAACTTGATCTAAATTGTGGCCTACAACTTCAAAAAAAAAGCCATCCTGTGTCTGCTTTAATGAATGGGTAACTCGTGTAATTTGCAACATCTATCAGCACAATAGCAATAAAATAGTCCCCTGTTTTTTCCCCTCATGTGAGAGATATGTATATAGAGTTTTCCTTGTTTTTCTTTTGGCTACATTTTTAAAAATTTAAATCTAATAAAAAATTCAAAGTTCCGTCCTTTTGCCTCACTCAAAATAGTAAAATAAAGCTTTTTAAACTGTCATTACACATCTGGAGTATTAACCAACCTATTCCTTTTAAGGCAGTTCCATTCTCTATTTCTGACTTAATTAAAATTTAGTGACGAGTACGAATTATAATATTCAGAACAATTATGTCGATAACATTGAGTTAAGTGTTATAAAATGATCTCCAAATTTCAGCTAAGAGCCAAACTGTTTCAGACATTATAGTTAAAGAATACTGAATTTGGTTTGAAACTTAATTTAATCATGGCTTCCCATATTCACAAATGAAGCTATTCAATAATCAGATAAGTATGCAAAAATGTATATATAAAAATTGTCAGTAGCAAAATTTGGAAAGAGTATAAATATTCATTAGTGGGAATTGATTAAATAAATTGC